AGCTCTTAGGATATCCTGTAATTTCAGTCCAACTTGAAACAATTTTTCTTCTGAAAACATTGGGGACTAAACATAAAACTGAAAACAGAGAATTGGTAGAGTTTTATGGCTGGGTTTCTATTCTGCAAAACATTCATTGTATTTTAGGTGTTCCCCATGAAGACCTGCTGGAGCATCCTGTACCGTCGTGTCACAGCTCATATACTAGTCAAGTGTCTGTATGTTGTCCCGTGCTTTCCCTCCCATCAGACCACGAGCTGAGTAGAAATCACGAGGAAAGTCCCTAGGGCAACCCAGGGGGCAAATTGTAGGTAGGTATACCAAAAGAGTTGCAGAAGGCAGAGGAGATGAGAGATCAGGAGTGACTATCCAACAACAGTAAGCGATGGAGTTGTATGGGACTTCACCATGGGTCAAAGTTTGCCGACGGGGTAGTGGAGGAGTTTGTGTACATCATAACTTCTCTTTGCAGAAAGTGGAGAGGGGATGATGGAGATGATGTGTATTAATAGGTTTTAAAAGGTCTTGGTGGAAAAACCCACATGGTTGTGAAATACAAATCTAACCTCAACACAATACTGATCTCGAAGGCCTTCTGGGTCTTTTTCCATCCACTGCATTTCTGTCTCCTAAATTGGTCTCCTAAGAGCACAATAACCCCCTCCCCCCTCCCCCCCTTCCCCTTATTCTGCTCCAAAACTGGCCTGGCTACGTGAAAATCTTGCTGTTTGTGTTAGGATTCCTCAGTGTACTACGAATCAAGAAGAATATTGTATCTTTTCTGGAGGGGTTCCTTGCTTGCATTGTCTAAATGCTTCGCCCCAGATAACCTCCTGGCTTCTGGTTAGCAACAGTTTTATTAATAGGACTTCTTTTAGACTTAGTTATGTCTGGCTTATCATGCACGGAGTAGTGTGCTTGATTGTGATACTATGAGTTTATAAAAATATTCCCTGAGATACAAAGCTGTGAATGACATTAACAGCACCAAGGGGTGCGTGCATCCCTGCTGGTGTCTCTGGGACAAAACCAGCTTAGTGCCATTGTTCAAGTAAAGAGGACAGTAGCGTGAGGGCTACAGCTGATGCCATCAGTGACTGGGTGATAAGCCCCTGAAACCAAGATTGCTAGAACAACAAGAAAGCTGGCATAACACTTCCCATTTTTTATGGAAAGGGTTTCATTCAGATGTCTGGTCTCTTCAAAGAACATGCAGCACAGCCTGAACATCAGGGCAAGAAACAAGTGCAAAGAGATTAAGAGTCAGCAACTCTGTCTCTCGTATGGATTTGTACCAAATACCACCACTAAGAATCTCAGTGCTGTGGATGCTTGGCACTCATAAGAATGTCCTTGCTTCAAAAACTCAGTTGCCAACAGAAAAAATGCCAGGGGAAACACAATTTTTCCAAGTGCTAGTATACTTAAAACAAACAAACAAACAAACCCACACGGGAAATCATTCTAGTCTAGTTCCAAGACACTGGAGAGTGTAAAGCTGTATCTGGGTAAGCAAATTCACATTAAACCTGTGAGTAGGTTTTGCAGCCTCCATCTCTGGGCAATGAGGACTGTTCTACTGACCAAGCTCAGTGAAGTGTGTGGTGATGCTGGTGTGCAGCCTCGCAAGTGCCTGGGGACAGAGGTGAGCCTGAGCATCAGAGACACCACTGGGGACTTTCACTCCCTTCAACGGTCCTTGCAGTAGAGCAGCAGACGCAGAGCTGCCACAGAGCGTGGATATATGTCACTGTCTGTGGCTGCAATGCATTGGGACACATTTGCCCACTGTTTGCCTTAGCCTGACCCCATTTTTACAGCCTGTCCTCCTCCCTGGGGTCTCAGGGTCGGTGACCCTGCTGTCCTCATGGACAGCTCCACCCTTGCTCTTGCTACATGGAGATGGCTTTGGTTTTGTGGGCTCCACACCACACTGAGGGATAAAGGAGAGAAAATATAACCCCAACCATCTTCAGTCTAAATATACCCCAAAGATTGTTCCATCCATCTTCAATGATACCTTGTGGCCAGCTAAATGATGCCTCCCCTTCCCCTACAACTCCATGGTGGTATGTGCTGAGGGGGGAGAAAGTAGCAGCAGCTGCCACCCACACTTCTCTGCAGCTTTTCTGAAAGGAAGCTGTGCCTGGGAGGCAGGTCTGGTCAAACCGTCTTGCCACTGCCTTGCATGATCCTCCAGCTCTGGGTGGTGTTTTTACAGGGACTGTGATTAGAGGTTAGGCAAACTCAGCCCTTCAGCTCAAACCTTCCCTTTGATCCAGCCATGGGAATTTGCAGTCCTCCTTTTTCACAGTTTCTCCTGGTCTGCAGTCTGCCAAAGGGCTAGCTCATGCTCTCTGGGTGGGACTTAGCAGAAAAAGACATGTACGTCTGTGCTAGTCACCCACACTATTTTTACTGTTATTGTAGAATTGATTGACCCACTTAGAGAAAAGGAGAGCATAACTCCTCTTTTCTCCAAATACAGACCTACAGCAAGTCAAATCCTACTCTAGAAGTGCCCGTTCTTTTCTACGTGTATTAAGAAAATGTGAGGTCACTGACACGTCTGAATGTTTGCCTCTAAGTGTAACTGAGATGACTTCTTCCCCAAGAGCAATCCATCAAAGTGATTTAAATACGAGTTGCCAGCAGCTCCGGCTGTATTTCACCTGCTATTCAGGCTATTAATGCCTGAATAAACTCAATATGCAATTAGCTTCAGTCAAATTCTCAAAGCTTGGTATAATTAGACACACTAGGCATAAGGCTGCTGCTGACAATGCACCTGTATAAATGTGTTCCCCAATGGGTATTTATTTCTAATTATACTAAGGTATGTGGATTTGGGATAGGATCCAATCTAGATGATTATACTCTTGATGACAAAGACGTGTTTGGACCCCTCCACATGTTAGGAAATGGAAGAGCATTGCTATTCTTTTGGAGGCTCCTTTCTTGCATTCTTTAAATCCTTCCTTCCAGACAGCCTCCTGGCTGCCACTTCAGTAACTATTTTGTTAATTGGATTTCATTCAAGGTAAATCACGTCTGAGAACTGCAAACAAAGTGGTATTCCCCTGAATGAGCTAGTTCAGATAAGGACTGAACAGGGCAGACACAAAAATAGTGGCCTGATTTTCAACAATGGGAGGATAAGTGTTGAATCCTGCCTTCCAAGTCCACCAGATGTTTTCTGGTTCTTCACCCTCCTAAGCCAGAAGATGCTCAGAAACACTGTGGTAGGGAGAGATAGGCGTGACACTGGTAGAAAATATGAGCTTCAGGCTGTCTGTATCTGCCTTGTAGACCCTCATTGTGTCTTGTGAATGCTAGAGCTCCTGGTGCTGCTCAGGGTACCTGGAGACAGAAAAACATCTGGCAGTTGTCCACTGAGCCCTGGGTGGAATAAAGAGGTTGGTGTTGTCGTGCTCTGCCATGTCACAGACACCCTGGCTGGAGAGCTGGCGAGTTACAACAGCTCCACCCTTTAATAGCATCAAAATCCCAACTAGATGATGAAGGGATGTGTCATGTTGCTTTTCACCTTGAAAGAAGGAAACAGGGGTTTTGTGTTTGAGGTTCTCACTAGCTTTTGCTCCGCCTGACTGATTTGCTACCAAGGAAAAAAATAAGAAGTTAAGCAATGAGAAGAAGTCAGCTTCATAAGTAAAATCTGACCCAAAATGTGTAGGGCTGTACATATGTTGGGGAGGGGGGAAGAGTCATACATGTCCACAAAGGAATGCTTCGAAGGGTGTGTATTCATGTCCTGCTAGATGTGTCTGCAGCGTATGCTTTTCATGTATGCATTTGCATGTTTATGCATACCAAAATAAAGTTTCTCTTTATTTGTGTATTCACCACAAGGGCAGTTGTCAGTCTTCCTGCACTGCAGGAATGTCCCAGTCAGCAGAGACGTCCACCCTGTTGATTTTTGCTGAGAGGCAGATGTAAATTTTGGTGTAAATTCACATTGCTGACCTGTGCCTGTTCATACAGAAGTTTGGACCTCATGTTCTGACATATTGTGTTTCCTTCTTTTTGCATTTGAGCTCAGCAGTAATCTGTTGGCATCTTGGAGAATTTTTGAAGTCCAGAGCTGCAAGAGGGCAGTTCCATGTAAAAACAGGGAGTGGGACAACCCAAAAACTTAGGAAAAAGGAGGAAACATGAAGTGATGAGAAAACAAGAGACAGATGGCAGAGTCAGAGCAAGGTCCAGCAAGTTGTCCAGTACAGTCCAATATATTCCAGCAGAGTACAGCAGTGGTTATTAGAGGATGCTTTAGGAAAAGGTACAAGAACTGGACAGAACTCCCCTGAAACTCTCTCCTAAACATCAAGCAGAGACTTCCTAACCTAAGTATTTCTGTACATTTGGTAATGTACAGCAATTGATTTCTTCTCCAGGAAGTGGTCCTGTGACCCTTTACACACACATGTAACTCTGAACATCTACAGTATCGCCTAACCAGCTTCCCACATTTCAGCTGTAAGGGCAAAGAACCACCTCCTTCACTTTCCTTTGAGCCTGATTCATGCCAGCGTCACTTGATAACCTCTAGTTCAGCTGCTGGAAAAGACTACGGATAGTAGAACCCCATCGGTCTACAGATAAAACCCTTTCAGCGAAGTAACCTGGGATTTACCATAGTGCTACCATAATCATCTCTGGAGTGGGCGTCAGTGGTGGGAAGTCATTTGAGAGAGGGGAAGGAGACTACCACAGGAACACCGGCGCAGCAGAAGAATGGACAAAGGGAATCTGCAGCCTTATGGCTGGGACAGAGTTCCTAAAGTTGGGGCTGTAGAAAAGGGAAGGTGGAGGAGGAAAGGAGAGTGTAACAGCTCTATAAAACTATTTTCTTGGATTTGTGAGTCAGTATTTTTCATGGACCTCACAAGCACCCAAAATCATCATACAGAGACTAACCCAGTACTCTTCTTATTTGATTCAATTTTCTGTTTTAACTGGCTTTTATTCTTTGTCTCTTCCAGGTTGAATTCACCCCCGACCAGATTGAAGGTGAGGAAGATTTGTATCTCTTCCATGAACAGTAAATGCTATTACTGTAAAATGATGGCAAGTGCTGGGGTGGACATGGGTCCCTTGAGAAGGGAGTGGACTCCCATGCTTTAATTCATGGCTTTGCTCCTGCTCCGTCCCTCCTCCAAGTCCTCTGTTGGGCTGGTCAAGAGAAAAAGGGGAAAGTCACACACTATGCAGAATAGGTACTTATTTCATTAAAGAAAATATCAGCTTCTCTGCCAATGAGGTAAAACCAAAAAAAAGAAGAAAAAACACACTATGCCAAAACCTCAGTCCAAATATGTATTTTTTGTTTAAGAAAGCCCACTGACAAAATATCAGTCCTTTCAAGACAGACTCACAACTCTGCTTTTGAGAATTTTTCCCCATATTCAGTCAGAATTTAATGTCTTACAGCTTTGTGAAGGGTCTCCAGAAACAAGCAGATGATGACAGCAGTGGCATTTTGTGTTCTTTCAAAGCAAAACATCAGCGTTAGCTTCTGAACCCCTTGTTCCAGCCCAAGAAACTGATACTGAAACCTCATGCACGAAGTCCTGGGAACGCTAATAGTGCAGCTGTCCCCTTTTTCCTCAACTACCAGCCTGCTTTTTACTTAAAGGGATAATTGATAGAGGGAGTCGAACATCTGGCAGAATTTTCCTTTGGTCTTTAAACACTTGGCAGAACTTGATAGAGCCTATAAAAGATGGTATCAGAAAATGGGTTAATTAGAACAGATGAAAAAAAATCACAGGCTACCCTGTCAGGCTGATTCAGGGAGGACAGATACAGAAAGAAAGACTTTTTAAACTGGACCAAAAGCCATAATATCCTAGAGACTGGGGCTTTGCCAAGACTTCCAGCACTATCTTGGGATTTTCAAGCACCCCTTAATGGCTCTAGTTTCTATTTTCTTACAACAGGTCAAAAGTAACTCATGATTGGAGGCGCAACAGTTATTTTCTGGGAACCTCTTCCTTTTCCAGTCCCAAAGACATGGGAGAACCGTAGCAGAGAGACAAATTTGAGCCACAAACCTTTGAACTATTCCAGCAACACACAACAGCTGGATCCCTCATCAGCTAATGTTTTGGGGATTGAATAGGACTCACCTCGTTTATATGCCTTGTTATCTCTCTCCCTGAGGAGAACTAGCTCTAGAGACTATATCAGAGAATGGGGAAAGAAAAGACCTATTCAGAAAAAAATTGGATGCTTGACTGGCCATCAGTCCATTGGAATGGCTAGGAAATGGCAAATTTGGAGCAACTCCAGGGCCGCCATAAAAGGCAGCAGGGCCCTGCCATAAAAGGCAGCAGGTCTAGAGCAGATGTAGACCATCTTTAGAAACAGAAAGTTGCATCTTCTTTCTTTTTGTATTTTATTCTCAAAGCGGCCTTCCGGTCTAGCTTTACTCACTGCATACACAGAGCAAGGCTGGGACTCCAGGACTTGTGAAATAGGATGTCCTTGAAATATCAAAGGGAAAGCCATGGGGCAGGAAGCAGATAACATTATCTGTGAGAGAAAGGCTATGAGACCACCATGTCAGCTACAACAGCAAACAGAGTCATACAGTGTGCTAGCACTGGGGAGAAACACTAAATCCACTCAAGGTTAATCCCACAGCTGGTTTATAGGTTCTGCAATGAGTTGCTGGAAAGAATGACTGATGACCTGAACATCACCTGGGGACCAAGCAGAAAAGCACTGCTCATCAGTCAGTTCCTCAATTCTTTTCTTCCTAGCCTCTTCTGGTTCTTTTTTTTGCTTTCCTCTCTTTCACCTGACCTTTAGAAGGTTCTTACATTCATAGACGAGTAGGCAGACAGATTATTGTTGCTAGATAGATATTTACTCCTAGATAGGTCTTAGATGTTTCAGGTGTAGAATTGTATCTACAGCATGGTTCACAGTTGTCCGTGGATTTTCACTAGCATGTGCTGTCTTCTATACTAGTTTGCACGTCAAAACCTTGCCAAGAAGTGTGCTACCAGTTTAAGAAAGTGTAGAATCCGTATTCCAGTGCTTGAGACTGTTTTATCTTGTGTTAAAAGCACAGGCTAGAAAGCAAGAACCACTTGCCGTGACTTATAGCTGTTATACAGGCTATTGACATGACTTGAGAGTTGGGACTCACAGGAGCTCTAGATTAATACATCTTTTTGGTTTGCTTTCACTTTCCCATTCTCTCCTCACTCTCTCAAGGTTGCAAGACAACCAGCTCTCCCTTTCCTTTGGCTTTCAGTTGCACTTGTTTTGGTCTCAGTTCATTTTCAGCTCCATGTTGCATTGTTAATTTTGTCAAATTTCCTCTTTCAGGAAGTCGCAAAGAGGTCAAGGTCACCTGTCATACCTTTATACCTGCTTTTAAAAAAATAGACCTCTTATTTAGAATAGTCACCTCTCTGTCTCTGTTGATCAGCGAGATATGTCTCATTGAGACTAGATGCCTACCCATTGGTCGTCTGAACCTAGATCAACAGGAAGTCCATCCTACATGTTAGGTATTACTGGCCATCAGCCATTGACCCCAGCTGGTTTTCTGGCAGCTGATTCTGAATTGAGGTGGTGGAGGATAAGCAGACAACACAGCATCTCAAGGTCTTTTCCAGCCCTGTCTTCTAGGATACTCCAGACCTCTTCCTCTTGCTAAGGAAAAGATTTTGCTGCGCCAGGCTTACTTCCCTGCAAGGATTAACTAGTGTGTTAGACCCCAAAATGTTACTCTCAGAAGGATTAAAATGGTCTGTGGGTGAGGTCATGGGTAACACACCCATCTTCGTATGTCCTCCTGCCTCAACTGCAAGTGAAGTACATTGGTTGTGGCAATGTGTATTTATGAAACTGATTTCCTGGCCTCTTCAGCCCCCTAAACTGCTGAAAAAAGAAGAATATGAGCTATTCAAGATGAGAAGATAGGTAGCAATTAGGCATGTGAAAATATACACTGCTCCTGCCAGTGGTTTAATGGCTAGCAGGAGGACAAAGGAGACCATAGCCATGCTGGTTTCATTGCTTTGATGGAAACTTGCATTAAGCCTGCAAAATGAAAAAAAAAAAAAAAAAAAAAAAAGGCTGCTTCTGTATATCGACAGAATGGGGTTTCCAAACCCACAGGACAATGAGCTGGTGAGTGGCTGGTACGTCTGATTTTAAATTACAAAAAAAAAAGAAAAAAGAGAGAAATATGAGCTATCAGTAACTATGATGAATTGCGAGTCTTTAGGAGGTGGTGCAAAGGGTGCTCAGGCGATTGGTCTCAGGGAGTAGGCAAGCAGCAGGTGAATGAGTAGCTCAGGGAGCTGAGTGTATTTCTTATCCACCTCAGCTGCTAAGACCCCTCAGGAAAGGACAGAGCTGGGAGTGGGGCTCTGGCCCCCTTCCACTGTCAGCAAGGAGCCCATGCAAATCCGCTATTGCCCTCTGCTGGAGTGAGGGCTGCCAATGGGACCTGGGCTCCGGCCGGTGACAGAGGAGGCAAAGATCCAGGAGAGAGAGGCAGGGAGAGAAAGAAAGCGAGAGCAAAGAGGACAATGCACCGAAGTAAACAAAGGGAGTGTTAATTAGTCCAAAATGAGAAAATGCATCGCTGTTAGAAAATGTTGGATGAGGAAGGAAATGAGTAAGGTATGAGTGGAATGATAAACACGAAAAAGAGGGAGCAAGGAGGAGAGACAAACCCAGCAACACTATGAGGAAGGAGAGAGGGAAATAAACAAATGAGAAGAAAGAAAAAAGAGGGAATAAAGAGGAGGAGAAGGAATTGAGAAGGGAAAGATGGAGAACGTCTGGTATGCAGAGTGCATGACTGAATGGTTGAGTCAGGATCTAAGGAAAAAAATATAGCCTTACTGTGTTTGGAGAGTGGGAGGGAAACGTACACAGAAGAGTAACAGTAGGACAAGGGGCAGATTCAGGGATTCTTTAAAGTCAAACTTTAAAGTCAAAGGGATATTTGTGATCACTCGTAGACTGTGCACTATGCAGCGTGTTCAGTAAAGGATAACAGCCTTTTACTGTTACTTGTGCCTTGAGATGCTCTGTCTCTGCAATGTGTCTGCAACTCCAGTAGAGAGAGGCAAACACGAGTAACTGGTGTGTCTGGGGAAGTCTCCACTGGGATCCTACACTGGCACCATTAATTAGTGGTAGAACCGGGTCCCTCTCCCATGGCAGTGCTTAAGGTACTGCTGCTCGAAGGGACTCCCTCTTTGGTCAGAAGTAAAGAAAAGACATGAGGATATGTTCACAAGCCTGTAGTGGAGGGGAGCTGGGTGCGTTGCAAGGGAAAGGGCTTTGCATAGACAGGCAGGGGAGAGCAGGCAGATGTGATACCACTGGAGGGAATGAGTGCATCTCCACAGATGAGATCTGGCCTGGCATCGGTAGCTAATGGCCGACCAAACCTGAGTTCTCCAGATACGATTGGATAGGGTGATAGAAAAAAGAAAAATCAGAGCATTCTTCCAGATCTGCTCCTTGACACAGGAATTGATCAATTATAAGGTTTTCCATACAGCTTCACCCTGCTCCACCAATAGACTCCTTGTTGTGTGATTATTCCAAGAGGTTTTCAAGGCATATCTTGTTACCTGTTAATAGAGGTGCTCGTTTATCTCAGTGGGCTATGTCAGTGCTCTCTAAGTGTATAATGCTGAATACAATATCCAGTTAGCTAATGAGCAGAACTGTTATTGAATTCTGTGACATCCTGAGTGCTCCTGAAGAGCTGGAAAGCTCTCAAGGCCAACCATTTCTATCAGGTTTTCTGCACTTCCTGATGTTAGCTGAGACGGAAATACCATGAGAAGAGCATTTGACCTCCAATTCCATTCCCTGATTGAAATAGAAAATGCAGGGGCGAAGAACACAAACATTGCAGATAACAGCAACAACAAAGCTCATCAAACTTGTTCCCAAACTGCAAAATAAATGGGTCAGGCAGAGTTAGTTAGGGGGAAGGTCTAGACTTACTTTGACTTTATTTGAGGGAGCATGGCATGCATTTCTTTTTATCTTTTTGTCTTCCAGAATTTAAGGAAGCATTCTCACTCTTTGACCGAACTCCTAAATCTGAGATGAAAATCACATACGCACAATGCGGAGATGTCTTGAGAGCTTTGGGGCAGAATCCAACCCAGGCTGAAGTCATGAAAGTGCTTGGCAGACCCAAACAAGAAGGTTGGTGTCCTCCTCTGTGTTTGTTTTGAAAAAGATCACTCCAAGATTTTTTTGTGAAGCAGATGAGGTCTTCTTTTTCTGGTGGAAAGATTGAGAAATAACAAAGGATATGGAACAGCCTCTGCAAATCACTAACAGAAAAGTAAAAGAGGAAAAAAATGATCTTGCAGTCAATATGATTATCTCAATTTTAGGAGAATGAATTAATTTCATGGCCCTGTGCATCAATGTGTTTTACAATGACAAGTTTTTGCCTTTTAAAATTGCTTTGATGACAGGCATTCACTTGTGTTTACTGAAAATGCAGACATTTTGAAGACATCCAAAGAAACAAAGGGATAGACTGTGTGTGAGGACATAGCTTGTTCTACAACAGTATATATTAGAGGGTCTGTAATGACTGGAGTGGTATCTCCCTTCAGCATTCACCCTACACTGGATATCTGTTCAGCACAAATGAAATCTCTGCCAGATCATATCTACATTCAGGCATTTTCTAGTTACTTCTCTGTCCTTTCCTTCCACTGAGGTAGAACTAACAACTAGGCTCTCATTCAACAGCTATGATATGTCAGGATATGGCAATGACATAGTGGGAGGTGGGACAAGGAGTCATGTGGAAACAAAATGCCCTCTGATGCTCTTGAAAAGCAAAAAAAAAAAAATCAGGAAAACGGGATGCACAGCCCCTGTCCTGTCTATTTGCTCTGAAGCTCCTCTCCCAGTATGTTTTTAAACATCTCTGTGTTATAGGGCTGATTTCATACTGGGAAAGAGCTTCTCTTACTGTCTTCTGCTTAGTTTCATACTTCTATGTTGCATGAAACCATCTTGGGAGTCTAACAGTATTTTATTTCCTTGGTGTTCACATATGTCAGACACTAGGACATATCTATCTATCTATCTATCTATCTATCTATCTATCTATCTATCTATCTATCTAAAACTCATATTTCTTTCTTTGACAGAGTTCTTTCCCACTCTATCCACTCTTCCATCTGTACATATGATATTTCTGTGCTCTTTTCTCCTCTTCAGCTGGCATTTAGTGCCACAGTTCTACTCTCACTACCTACCCATGGTGGATGCCCTGTGATTAGTCCTCAGCTCTCCTGGAATCTGCCAAAACTTTCATTTCTGCCTGTGTCTTTGTAGAAATGAACTCCAAGATGATTGACTTTGAGACCTTCTTGCCCATGCTCCAGCATATTGCCAAGACAAAAGATACAGGCACCTATGAGGACTTCGTGGAAGGTCTGCGCGTGTTCGACAAGGAGGGAAATGGAACTGTGATGGGGGCTGAACTCCGCCATGTTTTGGCTACGTTGGGTAAGGCGAACCTTTCTTCATGCAGTTTCATCACTGAGGTCTTTCCCTTACAGCTTGTACCATTATCGGTAAGCTTTACGGCAAAAATGACTGGGCAAGACTTCAGCCATCGGTTATAAAGACCAGAACAGATTCTTTAACAATGAAGCTAAAAATCACTGACCTACAGCTCAAATATTTATTTTTCCTTCCTTCCTTCCTTCCTTCCTTCCTTCCTTCCTTCCTTCCTTCCTTCCTTCCTTCCTTCCTTCCTTCCTTCCTTCCTTCCTTCCTTCCTTCCTTCCTTCCTTCCTTCCTTCCTTCCTTCCTTCCTTTTCGTGCCTCTCTTCCTTCATTCCTTCCGTCCTTCCTCCCTTCCTTCCTCCCTTCCTTCTTTTTTCTAGTATTTTATATCTCCAACAATTTTTATATTTTTGTCACCATAAATGTATCCAGACATTGGAAACCTCATCTATTCCTTCAATATTTGTCTCCTTTTTTCTGCACCTTCAAGAAATTTTTAAGATGAAGAACTTTTTTATTAGTCATCTGTTTAACAGAAGTGTCTCTGAAATAGAAAGGCCCTGTTTTAAAAGAAGGGATCAATGCTTCCCAATCCTCTCAAATTTTGACATCAGAAGCTCCTTTTTTTACAGAGAGTGATGACAACAGAATGGGTGCAGGAGACAAAAATTGGCTGTAACTTAATGGCGGGTTTCCAATTTGGATGAGAAGATACCAACATGTTGTCATCTGAATGCAGTAACCATTTCTCAAGATCAGACTTTTCTATTCGTGTCTGTCCACTATTTTAAAAAGGGATGAACCCTTGCAAAGGAGATTTGATCTAGACCAAAGGATTCCAATAATGTATTTTGACCTGGGCTATCAATTCAAAAATCCAAACATTTTATGCCCAGGGGTTTTCATTCAGTGACAGATTCATGTCTATTAATGACACAGGGAATAAGAAAATCAAGCAGTGCTATTTCCTTTTTATTACTGATGCTATCAGATTGGTTTGGGAGCTGAATTCAGTGATGACAAGAAAACCCCCTCAGGGTTAGAACTGATGCCCTGTCTAACCTTACCTGGGACAAAGAAACCACTCTGTGCAGGTTTGTGTTTCACAGTCCTACGAGAAATGCTTTTGTACTTACCCTTCTATTTCCAGTGACCAGAACACTGTGGCAATGTCTGATTTTCAAGTACCGACAGGAAGTATTTCAATCTTAAGAATTAACTGTGATTTCTAGTGTGGCATCTCTAAACACTGGTCAAATCCTAGGCACAGCCATATATTCTGTTAGTTAGCATGCTTTTCTGTTCAGTTTTTGAAAAAACATTTGATTTTTCACATGTTCACATCAGCAGACGACTTGTTCCTCTGTGCCAGAACTCAGTGGTGGAAAAGTGGAACAATATGAGTAGCAGAGCACGCCCAATACATACTATTTTATTTTCATTTTGATGATTTCAGGTGGCCAAGAAGGCCAATAGCATCCTGCCTTGTATCAGAAATAGTGTGTCCAGCAGGACTAGGGAAGTGATTTTGCCCCTGTACTCAGCACCAGTGAGGCCGCATCTGGAATACTGTGTTCAGTTTTGAGCCCCTCACTGCAAGAAAGACATTGAGGTCCTAGAGTATGTCCAGAAAAGAGCAACGAGGCTGGGGAGGGGTCTGGAGCACAAGTCTTGTGAGGAGCGGCTGAGGGAACTGGAGTTGCTTAGTTTGGAGAAAGGGAGACTGAGGGGACACCTCACTCTCTACAACTACCTGAAAGAAGGTTGTAATGAGGTGGGGGTCATTCTCTTCTCCCAAGTTACGAGATGAGAGGAAATGGCCTCAAGTTGTGCCAGGGGAGATTTAGACTGGATATTAGGAACAATTTCTTCACTGAAAGGGTTATCAAGCACTGGAACAGGCTGCCTAGGGAAATGGTTGAGTTATCATCCCTGGAGGTATTTAGAAGATGTGTAGACGTGGTTTCTATGGTCATGGTTTGGTGGTGGACTTGGCAGTGTTAGGTTAATGGTTGGACTCAATGTTCTTAAAGCTCTTCTTGAACCTAAACAATTCTACACTTCTATGAAATCCCCCAAATATTTTCTCCCTTACATTTCTGTAACTCTTCTAATCTCATCGTAAAATCAGTGCCTAATATCAGAACCAGGAGATGAAATGGGTTCTTTGCTGAACCAGAATGAAGCCTTACAGGCAAATAGGCACCTAAGATTTAGATAATTAAATTAAAAGGAATGGATCACTGACTGAAATCAGGGATCCTAAGTTTGACCTTGGAAGCTTCCTGAATCTCAGACTCAGAGGTAGACTAGATGATGACTCTGCTAAGAGTTTACTCAGTTAGGACTCGGTTAAAAAGTGACTAACTCCTTCAAGATTTGGTGCTTAGAGAAAGCTTATTCTTAGAAGAATGAGTATGTGAACATAATATTATGTGGGTTTCCATATTTATTCTGTCTTTCAGGTTTTCATATCAAATTTTCTCAGATTGCAAGTTCAAAATTAAGTTTCCTAGCAGTCAGCAACACAAATTAAACTGAAGAGAAAATCTGCTCCTCTTCTCTCTCACTCTCTTTTTTATTCTTGGATTCTTTGAAATGTGCTTTGTAAATTCTTCAAAAAGTGGTTCAGGTACTAAACAGGCATTTTGCTTTCTACCCAGGTGAGAGGCTGACTGAAGAGGAAGTTGATAAGCTAATGGCTGGTCAGGAAGATGCCAATGGCTGTATCAACTATGAAGGTAGGTATGATCACTCCAGTCTGAGCAGTGGTCGTGTGCTTGAAGGCTTTCTTGCAGTTATCCTGAGAAAGTTCAAACCTGTGGAAGATCTGACTCACAAAGATCAGGATGTGTGCTCTTCCAAATTTTAGACCAATTCAGATTCTATAATTCACCTGATATACCCTATCTGCTGAAGCTTACCTATATTTTCCAAACCTGAGTGAACATGGCCCTTTCAGGAGGTAGGGCTGGATATTATTATTTTGTTTGCCTATTAAAAAAAAAAAAAAAAGTTGCATGATTTTTTCTATCTGCTCCCACGGTTACTTGTCCTCTCAAAAAGAGATACACATTCCTTTTGAGACCTCTTTACAGAAAATCATTAAGTTTTCTTTCAAAACCCCAGCAAAAAATGTTGTCCTTAGCATCTTCTTTGTGTCCTAAGAATCCTGCAAGACCTTCCAAACACTTTCCATTTTATTCCACTGTTATTGTAGAAAACCAGAATAAAAGCATTTGGTCATGAGTACATGGACCATGGTTCTCTCCCATGTCTTGCAAGCCTACGTGCTTCAGGCTGTTCAATAAAAACACTATATTCTTGCAGGGATCATGAACACCTGCTTTTCTACACAGCCAAATCCTTTTAAAGGTTAACTGGTGACTTTCAATTGTATCATCATGGTGATTTTGCTGGTCACATTTGCTGAGTTTTTTATGAATATTTGGGTTGGTGGTCTCCTTCTATTTACAAATACCAGTGGTCCAAGCTCAGGGAAAATTCTTACAAGAAGTTTATTGGTAGAGATCCATAGATTTAGCCAACTCAAATGACACATGAACTTATGATGAATTCAGTGAAATTCATAGCATGAGGGGATTATTGGGAAGCAAAAAATACTTCCTTACTGAAAGAAGTATTTTTCCTTTTCCTTTTGAATTTCAAAAATATATATCAAGGATGCTTTTTAAAATGGAGAGTAATGGAACCCCAAACTTTCCGAAACAAAAGATTAATTTGTGTCTGAAACACCTTGTTTGTAAACATGAGTTCATGGGAGAGATATAGTCGTGATACCTGACTTGGGGACCTTCAGTGGATTCTGGAGGTTCACTCCAGAGGAACCATCAGTGTCCCCTGACTTAGTACAAATGTGCTGAAGTCTTGAAAGTCTTGTAAGATGAAGACCCAGAGTTTCTCATGGCTGTATACTTTGGAAAGCCAGTTCCATATGGCAGACAGGGGTAAGGGATTAAGCAAGCTATGGACTGACTGATGTGTGTGGTCATTTCCACTGGCTACCTAGACTGCGGGCTACACTGCGCTGTATATATGTTATTTTAAGGACTTAAAAAGCATTTAGCACCTGGTATCTGGAACCTAATTTACAAAGTGGCATCGTCTTCATTGCATCAGAGGAAGCAAGAAGAGTAAATTTAAATAACAATCAAGCTGAGATACCCAGGATGTTACTGGGCTCAATGACAGGGAACTGGTTAATGACCTTTCTCTTTCTCTTCTTTTCAGCTTTTGTGAAGCATATCATGGCTAACTGAATGCCAGGTGAGTCTCTTCTGTCCTCCTTACATATCCTACTATTGTGGTTTTGGCATCTGAGATAGGCTTGAAGACTGTGTAAGTGACTAGTCAAAGACAGTGAATATTTTCAGCATGCTGTACAGGGAAGCAGGACAAGAATGAATAAAACATTACCTTCATCCTACCAAGTGCACAGAAAATAGTTGACCTTTCTGCAACTGCCTGGCAAATCTGAACACCTTTATTTTAGAAGTCCAATGTAATGTATCCTAAAAGGATTTGATTTCCAAAGAACAAATGCTCCCTCTTTTATGATTGACTGGAAACTTCAAAGGATGCACACTTTTCATGTCCAGTTACAAGTCTTGGGTCCTAGACTACTAAAAAGGCAAGGAGATAGAACTGAGCTGACTAGAGAAAGGGTGGGAAAAAATACAAGGAAAAGTAGATAAGAAGGAGCAATACATGCCTATGTCACTGAATCTACAATTGGAGGATAATTATTGGCCTTCCATAAATCTGGCTCCCAACATCTCCTGGCAAATGGGTTGGTTTTCCAGGAAAAGACATGAACTTTGTCCAGCACAGCCTTTGACTTTATTCAGTAGAGTTCTCCAAACCACAGTACCATTAAGGGTATCTCTGTCTCACCATTACAAATGAGCTGAACTTCATTTCCAGTATTTCCTGGTCATCATTTATTTCTGTATTCCTGGAAAATGTGCCCTCTATTTTCAGCTGGCATTCACTATTATTCATCTCTGTTCAGCTCTTGGGGAAAGTCTGATCCGAGAGCTAACCAGCTCCATGTATTCTTCAAAGCATCTGATAGATGAGGAAAAGCAGTGGCTTCCTTCAGATTTGTTCTGGTTGTTCTGGGTTTTGTTTGGTTGCTGTTTTTTTATTTCTGCTTTAGTTTATTTTTCTACTCTGTTCTGACCAGGCCTGGCTTTGTTTCGCTTTTGGAGCTGACGTTATCCCAACCCACTAAGACCAGTCTGCTGTGTGGTGACTCTTGATTATGTTCGCTGGCACCACAGGAAGAGAATTAAATAGGAGTCACATCCAGGTCTTTGGGACTTGTGTTCCAAGACATAATTGAACAAAATGTAAACTGGCTAAAAGAATGACCTTTTTTTCTTATGATGGTCCAGTTTTCTTCCTGAAAGACATTTATCTTCTCTGAACATGCACTCAGTTTTCCGATACTGGCTCCCAGTTTTTGATTCCAAAGGTCTGGACTGGCCCACAGCCATAGTGGGTAATCCCACAGCTAACGTCATCTTTTCTTGTTGTTTAGAGATGTTTTCAATCCTTAATTCTATCCTAAACCCACTGCCACAGGAAATGCACTGTGATGATAGGCGTCATTCAGGGGTGGCATCTTCCGCTCCCTACTGTGTTGCTGTTGGCACGTTTAGGGAAAGGTAAACGCAGTCTTTACCCTTGAAAGGCTGATGGCCCTTTGCCGTAGAGCACATAACAAACAACTCCTAAAACACTGAATTTGAACACAGCGGGAATCTGGATCTGAGTCCAAATTTAAAGTAGTGGCTCATGCTTCTTGGCCATTCACATACGCTAGAAGAAATCTAGAGCTGTATCTCTGCATAAGAACTGAACTATGTCTTTCCCTTTCCTTTTCCCTTTCCCTGTCCTTTTCGCTTTCTTTATGTTCTGAGCACAGTTGTTGTGCCTACTCTGTATTTGACTTTCCCACTGGCTTGTCCCCAGCTGCTATGTACTATGATACAGAGTAATCAATTACATCTTCAATTATGACTCTTCCACTTAGCTAACAATTCTTCCTTCGCAGTAGGCATTGCTGTACAAGACACTCCCAGACTGTCTACACAGCTAGTCCTTACACTGTTCTATAAGGCTGCCCAGGGAGGTTGTGGAGTCTCCTCTGGAGATATTCAAGACCCGCCTGGACAAGGTCCTGTGCAGCCTACTGTAGGTGACCCTGCTTTGACAGGAGGGTTGGACTAGAAGACCCACAGAGGTCCCTTCCAATCCCTACCGTTCTGTGATTCTATGATTCTGTTCAGTGGGAAAGACACGGGCAGCAGGAGACATTAAGCTTTTTCACACAGATAGAAAGCACTATATCCTACTTGTGGTCCAGTGACCACTGCAGTATGGAGCAGGGCTGTGGGATACATGCAGTGGTCTACCTGGACTGCCTGCGAAGACAATGCACACAATTGTCCCCCTGCCACGTGGCTGAATGTGTGATGAGCAGGGTCATCCTTATCTCGTGGTCTCTCTTTTGGGTACGTATACTTTCATGGGAGATGATCAAACAGCCCACAATGCTAGGAAACAACATCTTTGGGGTGTTGTCTGAATTTTTCGGGTATCTACTTCTCTAATATAGATCTTGTGTTACAAAACCACCCTATTTGACTTCAAAGATGTAAACTCAGGTAATAGAGCAGTACATCTAGAGGGACAGTCCACAGTGTGCACACAGAGGCTCAATTCAGTGTCCCACATGTAGCTTCTTGGTGTTGTATGAGATGTTCCAAGTGTCTCAGATACCCATGGCCTCACAGATGGGATGCAGAGCCCATGGCAGACTTCTTCTTTCTGGCAGATGGCAGCCAGGCAGGATACTCTAGGACATGTCAAGTGGCTCTAGGTGCTGAGGTGTGGGGGAGGGAATTGAGTCTGTGGCTTGAAGTCTATAGGTGAAATACTAGAATTCATCAGTATTTAACTTGGTGACATAGACTTCCTTGCCTCCTGTCAGATAAAGATGCTTGCTAGTAGGTGTCTACATGAAAGTGGAGTATCTCTGTCTCCCGACCTAAAGGAGGTGCAGTTAGATGGAGTATGAATAGTGACTCACCTCACAGGAAGAAGAGACTTGGATGCAGTGAATGCAGCTGCCAGTGCTGAGAAGGACAAATCTCTCACGGACCATATGCTATGTTTGCCATCTGTATGGGAATGTTCTGAACATCTCAGGGCTCTCAAATTGCATCAGATACTTATGGTTCAGGAACTGAATCGTACTTGAAATCTAGAAATCGGCTAAGAGAAATCCCTGTGCTCAAATGTTGCTGATGGGACACTGACTAAAGATAACAGAGGGGCAACAGAAGTAGGGGAAACTGTCTAGTGGTTCAGGAACCGGGCTGTTTTTCTGGAAAACTGACTCTTTACTGTAGTTTCACTTCTGACACGGTTATATTGCCTCTCCATATCACTGCTTCCCATGTTTTCTCTATCATTTACTTGTTGAGGGTAAGATTGATGGGTTGGGACTGACTAAGGATATTTTGTCATGTTGTGTGATGTCAGCTGGCATCTTTGTAGTGCAGAGACAACTCAGCTGCAGGCCTTGCTGCCAATAAGCTGAGTACAAATGCATGAGGATGACTGAGGCTGATTCTTGGTGGCGTTGTTTGTTTCTACTTTCTTCCTCTAACGCTTAAAAATAACTTTGTTTTTAGGACAAGATAGGCGCTGAGAACCCCAGATGCTGGCCTTGGATTTTGATGTAATGGAATGTCTTCTCATTTTTCAGCCCAGATTCCCATTACAGAGCTACAGAATGTGCTGTCCCTAAAGTTATTTGGATAAATGCTTTTTTGTTTGTTTTGTCTTGTTTCTTCATGGGAAGAGGGTGGCCTCTGTGGAGATTCAATGCACTCAGGAAACAAGAAACTGGAATCTGAACTATGAATACCTGGACATTGTCATTCTTTTCTGATACAGAATATACACAGAAATACAAAATTGTTAAGGGAGAGGGGAGAAAAGGGGAGTAACTTTTTCATTACTAAATCCATCAGAAAATGTATTTGTCATTTAGCCATATCCTTCCCCCCTCTTCCTTCCAAAGCAACTGGTCCTTTCTCATTGTGTTTATTGCATATGTAAAAAAAAAAAAAACCCCAAAACCAAACAGTTGTAAAAGAGTAAGGCAGAAAAGAAACTAAACCAGTTGTATAAATCTCATGTATGCAAGAAATACTCTAAATCTTTAGAGAAAAATAGTAAAAGTAGAATGCCCAGCTATCAGCATGGCATTTGTTGAATGTTGTTCACATGTTTCTCAGCTTTGGAAGATACCACATGTAACATATCAGATGTAAAGGAAAAAAACAAAGCTAACCAGAAGTGTATGCAATGTTTGATAAAATGCATCCTTTCCCCACAAAGATTGCTTCCCATTCCAACAGGCTAACCTATGAAACAAGTAAAAAGTCTTTCCCAGTACAAACTGGAAATTGTTCTTGTATACATACCTTGGTCTTGTAGCTTTTCACAGTAAAACTTGGGAATCTTTGTCACCTGGTTTTGTCATTGTTTCTATGTCTGTGTGAGGGAAGGGGAAATGGAAAATTAATGCTCTCAGGAGAAGCCTTAGTAGAGGCCAAGGAAAGCTGAGAAGCATGAAAAACCACATGGATTAAGTTGGCTCATTTTCTGGGAAATAATAATTTAAAAAGTAAAAACAAAAAAAAAAAGCTATACCCTTTGGAGGTGGGAAAAGGAGAAACTAGAGGCTAGTACTGTTTGTTAGGAAATACCAGAAAACCTGAATATGCGACACTCCGTTTAGGTAAGAGGTACTGTTAAAACAGACAACTTGGGAACTTAGTGGATGGAAGGTAATTAGTGGAGCATTGTAACAGCAGGATATGACCTGTATAGCAATGATGGAACTGGTCATCCCTGCAGAGAAGAACTACTATGAATGAAAGAACACAAACAATCAAATTACATGAATATACGAGCTGTAACAGAATGTAACCATTGAAGAGCTGTAATAGAAAATCAGCAGTTGGAGAGCTAAATGTAGTATCAAGCTGACGGCAATAAAAGTAAAAAGCTAAAAGAAATTCAACAGGCTAGCACAGAGGGAGGAATGGAAAGATGCTAATAATGACAGGAATGTCTTATAGCCAGCCTCAGTTAGCTGTACAGAAAGGTGCAAACAAGAGGCAAAAAATAATTGTCACTGGTTTTAAAGAAATCATTTCTGAAGCATCAGTCCTGAACAGAGAGCCATGTCTTGAACAGGCCAATCGTAAGGCCATGAGATTAGCAACTGGGTCTGCTTTAGTGTGCCAGAGATGGACACCAGAGATAGTCACCATCAGTGGTCCATCTCCTCTTCAAGGCTCCCTTTGTGGGCATCCACTTTTATTCTCATCATTGACTCCAGTGATTTCCTAAGGCCTATTTTGTCTTGGGACAAATACCATTTCATAGGCATCTTGCCTTTACCGTCTCGTAAGTACATATTTAGACCCCAATAACAGCTTAATATTGTTTTGAATCAAAAGTGTACAGATGTTGGAAAATGCAGTTCTTTCTCCCTTTCCTGCCGGTGCATTCTAACACTTTGGAATGCCTTCTGTCTTCTGTGATACTCTTACAAGGGTATCTCTAGTTTAAAGACCCCTTGAGCTCTAAGACTCATACAGCTGAGGAGCACTGTGAGGGCTCAGTACAGGAACACTCTGCTAGAAGTTACCATCTGACTACCTCCTCTTTGTCCTTCACCCCCTGTTGTTTTGTCACCAAAACTCATCTCTAAATTGGGCTATTAACATCAAAAAATGAGTCTAACCTAGCATCAAGCCTGTCAAAATTTCCATCAAAATCAAAGCATGGTTGCTTGTTCTGAATTCTTCTCAGAGAGATTTAGGTACCCTACCAGGTGCATCTTAGGTGGAGGACAAATCCTAATCTCTCCAGTGTGCCATCAGCTACTTTCTTCCTCAACTGCTAAACACATAGCCACCACCCTGCTGCTACTCAGGCTCACAGTAAGGGATGACCTTGGGGTGTTATATCTAGATCTTGCAGAACATTTCAGCATACATTACCCAAACAACATCTGTCCTCATCCAGATAAAGGTGAGCATTTCGTCTGGGCATACGGGTGGCATTCACCCATCTAAGTGCAGATATCTGTAGAGCTGGTGTCTCCATCTGTCCTACGGTTCAATGCTTATTTTAATGGCACAAATTGTATCTTTACCATGAGGATTACACATTATTAATGATTTTGGTACTGGTTTTGTTGTTGTTGTTGCTAAAAATCACAGTAGAAACACCCTCATCACATGAATCCAGCAGCTGGATCTTGCATGAGGCTCACAGCTAGTTCAGGAAAACTTGCAGGGCTGGTAGTGCTGCAAGTGAGCAAGCAAGTCCTTTGATGGAGCAACGAGAGGCAAAGACCAGCAGGCCAAGCACAACCACCTGAGTTTACGTGCACCAGCCAAGAGTGCAAGGCAAGAGGACTGCCAAAGTGCAGCACATGGGGCAAACTGGGCTCCCCAGAGTAAAATAACAGCTGGTGTTTCACCCCAGTTGCATTAGCAGGGCGCTTTGAGGAAGGATCTGCAGGTCAGTCCAGGGTGCATAAGCAAAGCTGTGTGTGGGAGATGGCTGGAATTGTGCCTATTGCTTTCTGTGTCTCAGGACGTGCTGAATTTTTGTTTTCATGAGCACAAGATTGACTCACAAGCAAATGGGAATAAATAAGCAGTATCTCCCCCTTCCCCTCCTCCTCTCCTTACTCCAACCCCAAATTTTAAAAAAAACTGAACACCTCCTATCTAGAGAATGTTTCTTTAAAAAAAATGTGGGCAGGAGACATGCCAAGTTTCTAGAAGATCTTTTTATAGCAGTAGCATCTGGCTCTTTGGGAGACTCCGTGGGGAGTTTTGTTGGTGACTTTACATCTGCTGTGGTTAAGCTGCTAATGGACTGGCTGTCTGGGCTGCTGCCTGCTCTGCTGATTTCTTAGTACCGTGCTTTGGTTATTTGAGCAGTTTGAGCCTATTGACTTCTTGCCAGAATTACATAGTGCATTCCAGCAGTAACTTTCATTGCGACACCCAGTCACGCAGAAGGGGTTTCAGATGGAGTAAGGATATTGGCTGGCATTTCATTACCCTCTCCTTAAATCCATCCAAGCCTGGATTAAAGCAGGGGGTAAAGTGTGCAGATTTTTGATCCAGAAGCCAAAAGGAAAGTGAAGACTGTAATATTTTTACAGTGATGTCCACAAGCAAATAAACAAATAAATACATCTATTATTTAATCTGGACGGTCAATTAAACTTACTTTGCCCCCTAGTGCTATGTACCAGATCATATTTTTACTTATTCATCACTCTAAAAGCTATTTTTTAACCTTAACAAATTAATTGCTGCTTGGGGTGAAAACTTAAAATGCATCCATCTGCATCATTTTGAAATTAAACATCTTTACATTTTCAACATTTTCATCTATGAACAGAACTATTTTTTTTCAGCCAAATCTTTTGTCAAAATTACACCTTATTTTAAGCCTGAATTTCCGCTATAATGTCATTCTCTCAAGAATTTGCAGTTTTTCCCAAGGCTGGTTTCAGGATTCATTTTTCTTAGCTGAACCTTTTGATTTTTCATAGCTTTTGCTATTATGACGAGATTAATTGCCCCTTAGAAACACTGTTATTCCCTCCACTGAGAATAAAATGAGCCTGAACAACCGTTTCAGGAATAGGCTATTTGAACTCAATTCGCCTAAACAGTGTTGTGCCTTGTCATTTGCTGTCCTCTAGGTTATTTCCCCACGCTCTAGCTGTTTCTCAGAAATATGCATACCTTCTACAAGTCATGTTTTGAGTTTTTATGGAGGAGATTCATCTTATTCAACTCATAAGCTCGAAAAATTTGCTCACAGACAGACACTGTCCCTTCATAGACTTTGCCTACATGCTACCTCACGCCTTCCCCTCCCCACCAAGGTAAAGGACCCCCAAGATAAAAGAGGTTTATTTATCTGATTGTAGCAGCAGTGTTTTTGGAGGAGTAATCATGCAAAAATACCCACAAATCCATATTTATGTGTAAAATTAAAACCTGATTATATGATATGGATCTTAAATATGTATATGAGTGTTCATGCAGAGATGTAACAACACTGCACAATGCAGACAACGTGAGCTATGAATTCACCAAATGCCTTGTGATACCATGTAGTTATTTTTTTCCAGTTTCATTTGACACAGAAAATTCTTTGGATTCCCTAAAGTTCCTGAAGTAACATATGTCCATCTATCCTTCTCCTCTGGTTTATCTGGTGAAGTTGTTGAAATATGTCAAAAGCCTAGCAGAACAGAAAAATGAATGTTTTCATTTATAAATCCGAAAGTGCCTGTGTTTCCAAACTAGCTGTTCTGTGATTGCCTTCACTTTCCTGTAATAAAAGTGCCACGGGAGAGTTATGATACACACCAAAGATAAAAGACAGGAGAAATAAAGAAAGAAAAGCATACATGTGTGTAGGTACGTCTATACTGAATTGAAGCAATTGTGTGTCATTTGGGACAGCACTAGCATTTGAAGCCGTGCCTCTGTTCCCACCAGGAAGAATCAATGGGTGCATAGGAATAAGCACACAAACACAGAGATAGCACAGAATCACACAGAGTCTCTCAAGATGTGGTTTGATGTTTCTTGAACGAAGTTCCTAGTTGGATGGTATTAGGCTTTTGGGACCCTAGTAACAGATATTAAAAAACAAAAC